GACCTGAGTCCCCCGCGGATTTATGAGGCGTCGATGTAGTTGAGAAAGCCTCCGACCGTTTCTTGTACTCCCCAAAGTTACACATCTGGCAGAAGTGATGACCCAGCTGAACTGGCTGCATGGTCCTGGAGGCCCGAGTGAGCTGACGGGCAGGACTGTGGCCATTGATTGCAGGGACCGCGCGTAGTTTTCTCGGGGTATCAGTGGGGAGAGAGAGGTTAAGTGTTCATAGACCCATATCTGCCTTTCAGACAACGATGGTGATGTATATATATAGCAGTTTTTATAAAAGCGCTAATCAGATGTCTATTTTTTTTCTTTTCCTCACCTGACACGGTGGCTGGCGAATTTCGGCATTCTAGAATTACCGGCTGAAGAAGGTAAATCTTAATGTCACTTTGGAGAGACGGTCTGTGTACGGTCACGGATTGATTGATGTGGACAATTGTAACAAATACTTTTTTTCTTAACAGGAAAAACCTTGCTGGAACTTGTGATTGAGCAGTTTGAAGACTTACTAGTTAGGATTTTATTGCTGGCAGCATGTATATCTTTCGTAAGTATTAAAAAATATTTTATCTGCCTGTACAAGCTGAAAGTATTTCACTGATACACCAGAAAAAAAATAATAGACTTCGAGTTTCCGTGTTTAAAAAAAAAAAAGTGTTAAGAGATGAAAAAAAAAGTGCTAGAAGGTGTTTTGTTCAGACTATAGATGTCTAGCTTTTACAGTGGAGTGAGAAATGGCTCCTGACTGCGGGGTCTTTGCCCTACCAGTTTTTAGTACCAGTCTTTTGCTGCAAGGCCTTTTCTGTTACGTTCCTCCATTTATTGTCATGCTGTAAGATCATACGAAGATGATGTTGGGCACTTGGTAAATAGAATGGACAAAGGGAATATTGCAGTTGCTTTGCCTTCCTGGTAGTGGCAAGGTGACAGTTGTTTCTGACAGTGACAAGAATGATTACGGCAGTGATGGCACCACTGTTGACCAAATTTGGTCACTGACCTTTAGGATGGCATCTAACCTGGACCCCTGTCTTGAGTGATTCCTAGATTGAGAGAACAAAGTTCAGTACTCTTGGTTCTAAATATTAGAAGAGGGAATGAAGGTAGATGTGGTCTCTTTTTTTTTTGCCCTCCCCCCCCATGTACTTGAGCCCTATGTGGTTGCTAAGAAACTAGTGAAATGCAGAGACCCATCTAAGAAAAATTAATAGAAGTGGCAAGGTTATTTCTATGTTATTATCATTTTTCTCTGTTATTTTTTTATTTATTTTTTTGGCCAGTAGACTTTACAGTTTTCTTAATAGTGGTAGTGGTATACGATGGTCTTAATTAGCGATCATAGCGCACACTGCTTTTTGTTCTTACAACCTTGTCTTCTTAATACTGTAATAGGAAGTGAGAATCGTATGATACTTGTTTCAGGTCTCACAAAGCTGACAGCTTACAGTAAGGTTCCAACTATGTATATTCACATGTAAATCTGACCTAGGGGTCATGTGGTAATGGCCTCTATGAAAACACAGGCATAGAGGATTGTTTAGGGAACATAAAGAGTTCAGGTGAAAGAAAGGGTTTTTTTAAGCTATTTTTAAAATAAATTTTGGTGGCAGAGTTGGCCTTTAGGAGCAGTTGTGCACATGGATTTTGCTGTGAAACTTGAGTATGCCATGTTTGTTAAGTGTTGTGTGGCCATTGCTAGTTCAGTTCTCAAGAATCTCATCTGTGATTTTCATTGAATAAAAATTAGACACCAATAGCAAACCATTCAGCATACTACTGAGTCACTCATTCTATACCACTTATATATCTTGTGATTAGTTTTTAAAATTTTTGCCCTATAAATGGTTGCATCATTTTTAAGCAAGATAAATGAATAGAGTTGTTTGATTATAGTTTGAACATGTTGACATGAGTTAAAATAAATTATACATTTAGGGAGTTGTTCAGGGTTTGTATTAATGCAGGCTACGTAATTCTGAGTCTCTGCTTTGGCAGTTAAATGCTGGCCTTCATTAAGGTCATCAGGGACTTAGGAATTAACTAACTGATGTGTACTAGCTGTAGGCAAAATGCATTCCTGCTGGTTCCTTCTGTGTTATAATTTGAAGATCTCAGAAATAGTGCCCCTTGTCAATGAACAAGGCTATTGGATCTCAGGGTTTCAAAATCGTGTCAGTTTGATGCTTTAGAAAGTAAGATTAATGATTATAGATGTATTTTATGATAGAATAATTAGGAATTTATTTGTAATCATTTTCAATTTTAAGTGATTAACTTTTTTGTAATAGAGGATGTTGCTTAGTAGTGTTTGTAGTTGAAATGTGAATTCATTTTCAATAACTATTTGGAATTCTTGTTCAGGAAATGAACTGTCATATTTTTATGTTATGGTTTGTTAAATAACTAGAGAATAAGTGTTTAGAAAGTGCTTTTTATAGAGTTCACTCAATTTGCTTTGGTTTATTTGGTCAAGATTGTGGATGGATTACGATAGTCTTCAGAGGCTGCTCTAATATTGTACCCACTCTAATTTAGTTACTTGCTGTTAGTGTCCATGCTTAAGTGTGTGTTCATACCTTTGAAAATGATCTGCAAGGTTGCCTTATTTCAAAAGGAAAGGTTCAGGAAGCTGAGGCATCAGGACAGCCTGGACTAGAGTAAGACCTTTTTCAAAAGATACAAAAATGGGAAAAAGAAATTGTGGTTTGTTGATGGTGCTATGTGCTCCTTGATCTGTTCTTTCCTTATTTCTTTTTATTTCTGTTACTGCTTATGTATGTGTGTAAAGTGTAGCTATGTGTGTGCTTGTTCAGGTATGTGGGTGTGCTTGTGTGAATGTGTGTGCAATGGCCATTGGGTGTCTTGCTTAATGACTTTCCACCTTACATACTGAGACAGGGTTTCTGGATTAAACCCAGAGCTCACTGAATCAGCTAGTTTAGCTAGCCAGCTTGCCCTAGCTTCCCAAGTGCTGCACTTACAGGCTAGGTACGGGCCGGTGGTGCCACACGCCCTTAATCCCAGCACTCAGGAGGCAGAGACAGGCAGTTCTCTGCGTTTGAGGCGAGCCTGGTCTACAAGAGCTAGTTCCAGGACCACCTTCAAAGCTACAGAGAAGCCCTGTCTCAAAAAAACAAAACAAACAAACAAAGAAACAAAAACCATTAAATAAAATACAGGCAGGCTCTCACCACTTTCTGGTCTTTATGTGAATGCCTGAAGGTCTGAATTCAGGTCCTTAAGCTTAATGTGGTAAGAGGGCCTGCGGGCCTGCTCAGCCATCTTTCAGGCCCTGTTTTGTTTTTGTGTGTGTTTTTGTTTTTTTGAGACAGGTCTTACTATATCTTAGACGATCTCAAACTCACTCTTTATAGCCCAGTTTTATGAGATCCTCTTGTCTTACTTAGCCTCTTAGGTGCCAGGGTTATAGGCTTGTGACAGGAACTTCAACTTTTATTTATTTTCATAGTTTCCAAATAACAGCACTGACTTATTTGTGGTAGTCAGTATATTCTTACTGCCTTAACAAGAAAACAGGAAAAACAATGGGTCTTTGAATATTCATTCTTCTGCAGAAGTGAATAGGCAGTTGTCATAAATCATCAAATTTCTCCTTGGGTTAGAAAGATACTAGTGATTTATTTTAAATATTAGACTAGTAAAATGTTAACTACAGTTAATGTTTTACACTGGCTCATGGGGACAGTTTAATCTGTAGTGTTTCCTGGGGTTGTTTCTTTTAAAAAGGTCAAATGTGCATGCCTGTAATCTTAGTATTTATTAGCTGAGTAGGTTTGGAATCCAGGCCATCCTTGGCTCTACAGTGAGTTTGATGAAGTTAGCCTGAGATATGTAAGATTGTCTCAGCAAAATGCATCTCCCTTTGCATGTGGACATCAAATTTCTTTAATATGGCATAATTTACTGTTTTTTTATTTGGGTTGTTCCCATTCTGTTATGTTACTAACTTTACCCTAAGTATCCTGCATCATTTGGTTGCCTAACTGAAATGCCTGCCCACCCTTCCCTCTCCCAAGCGAGCACTTGACACAGACACAAAGGATATAATAGGGAATATGGTACCTGTTAACTTAAATAGTGCTGTTGAGAAAGTGAAGGGGCTGAGATAAGGGGGTTGTCCATAGGGAAGAGGAGCACAGGCTTTTTAAAAGGTAACCTCACAAGGTTGAGTAAAGAGCTGAAGGAGAGGTGAGTATATTTAGGGCTGCAGTGGCATTAGCTGATCTGTCTAGATCATGGGTGGTACTGAGATGGAAATCAGCATAGGTCTTTACCCCATTTCCTGTTTTACACTAAAATACTATTTTGTTATTTCACGCGCGCGTGTGTGTGTGTGTGTGTATTTGTTTTTATTTTGTTTGTTTTTGAGACAGGGTCTCTTTATAGTCCTGGTTATCCTGGAGACCAGTATTGTGCAGACCATAGATAGAACTCATTAAGATCTTCTTGCCACCATGCTGGGCCCCTATTCAATGTAGTACTGAGTTTGTTTCTAACATTTTGAGACGTTGATAAAACATATGATTTGTTTTTGCTTTGCTTGTTTCAATGATGATTAAGAAGCATTTAATAGTGCATTTTATGGTGTTTTAAATTTTTTGTTTATTTCTTAAAATACAATTTAAAAGTTGATTTAAAGGGGAAACATTTTAATGTCTTTACCTCCTTTCCCTACTGTGATAGAATCCAGGGCCTTGAGCTCACCTGGGAAGTGTTCTGCTACTGATTTTTATCTTCATCATACTGTGTATTTTTGTTATTTGTGTGTGTGTGTGTGTGTGGTTGGTTTTGTCTGTTTGCTTGTTTATGGGGGAGACAATCTCACTGACTAGCCTGGACCTACTGGTGTGGACTTGAGAGCTACCGGCTTCTACCTTTGAGTGCTAGAATTGAAGACAGTGTTGGTTTTTAAGGAGTTGTGTTACTGTATGGACAAGACTGGCCTTGAACTCTTAATTTCTTGCCCTAGCCTCATGTGTCCTGTGAATACAGGTATTGCCATTCCTACTTTTGACATAAGGGTTTTTTTTGTTTTGTTTTGTTTTTTTAAGTTTTGGTTTTGGGTTTTGCTGTTTCAAGACAGGATTTCTCTGTGTAACCTTCCTGGCTATCCTGTAACTCACGTTTGACCTCAGTTCATCCTGCCTCTCTAACCTCTTGATTGCTGGGATTAAAGGTGTGTGCAGCTGCTGCCACCTCCCGCCTTTTACTGGAGAGAATGAATTCTAATGCATATTAGGTTTGCTTTTCTGACTGAAGGAATTTTTATTTGCTACCCAAGATATTTAGCATATCACTTATGCTAAATATCTTGGGTTGTTTTTGATGAGTGCTTAATTTCCTTTTTTCCCCTCAGAATCTTTAATGTAAATTTTGTTTATTGATCTAGTGTTTAAATGTCCAAAGGCACAGTATAAGTTTCTGAAACTACAAGGAAGATGAAAATAGCACTTCTGATCTTTTTTTTTTTTTTTTTGAGGGGGGGGAATTCATGTAGGGGATCTGCTCACAGAGAGGACACAGTGCTGTGCCCCTCATTACAGTGGCCCCAGATTCTTCTTGGGTGTGTTGTAAACTCTTTTTTTCTTTTTTTACTTTTGTTTTTCAGGACAGATTTTTCTCTACAGCCCTAGCTGTCCTGGAGCTTGAGTTGTAGACCAGACTGGCCTTGAACTCAGAGATCCTCTTACCTCTGCCTCCTGAATTCTGACTTTTTTTTTTAAAACCACTTTTAGGTAGATGGTGCTGGCATTGAATCTGGGCCCCTCACATGCTATGTAGTTACTCTCCCTCTATACTTTAGCTTCCTTGTTTTCTGAGTGGTCTTGAGAGTTCAGTCCTAGCTGGGTATAGAGGCACACAACTTTAATCCCAACACTTGGGGCAGAGGTAGATGGATCTCTGTGAGTTCACGGCCAACCTGGTCTATGTAGGGAACGCCAGGCCAGCTAGCCAGAGATACATAGTGAAACCCTGGGGGTGGGGAGCAAGCAAGCAAGAGCTCAGCCCACAATCCCAATGCCATAATATGACAACCCTCCCAGTGTATAGCAGAACATACATGCCTTTTTGCATAAGAGTAAATTTTGCTTTATTCGTTATTCCTTTTAGAATTAATAGTGCCAGATTAAGTGTGGGGCATACACCTGTAATACCAGCCATGAGAAGATTTAAGGCAGGAAAACTGCAACAAGTTGGAGGTCAGCCTGGCCAGAGTAAGACCCAGGAAAAGCAAGAAAGTTCGGGGACTGAAGAGATGGCTCAGTGGTTTACTTGCTACACTTGCAGAAGACCTGGGTTTGATTCTCAGCACCTGTATCAGGAGGCTCAAGAGATCTGTAACTCCAATTCTGGGGGCTCCAACACCCTTTTCTGGATTCCGTGGGCACTAACATGCATGATTTGAATATACATACTCTTGGGTACATATACATACAGAATTTTTTTTTTTTTAATTTCTTTAAGGGTGTTAGCAGTGCTGTAATGCCATTTCTTGTGCATTTGGGCCAAATCCCAGAGCTTTATACCTTTTTAGTTAAGTGCTCTACCTCTGAGTTCCACCTTAATCCAGAGATTAATCCTGTGACTATCAATAGAAAGATCCCTGTCCTATACTACTTCAACTTAAAATGTAGTGAATGATGACTTGGAACAAGGTTGGCAAATTTGAAACTTTGAATAATTGTAATTGTAGTGGAAGGGTGCCGTTATTGTAACAGTACAGAGTTTAGAGGAAAGAAGAAATGCTTTGCCTGAAATTACATTGCAGCTAATCTTTTCTCCTTTTTCTCCAGTTCCAATGGAATGCTGTACTTCCTTGTAGAACTTTTACTCCTTGATTCTCACTTGGCTTTATTTGAGCACTTGTTTCTTCTTCTGCTTGTCCAGTAGTAAATAGTGAGTGTACTATATAAACCATCTGTGTACCAGAGCCCCTTCTGAGCCCCTAGGGATGCAACTGTAAACAAAGGCAATACAAAGAGAACCTTTATGATCAACCTGAGTGATCAAGGTTGTTCTTACAGGCGTATTTCTCCTTTTGAAGAGATAGATTTTGTGTAAGTTAGGAAAAACCATAATTAGTAACTAAACTGACTATGTACCCTGAGATAGTATCTGTCCAGTTTCTTAGACCTTCTTACCGTCAGTCATTTGTCAGCGGTTTTCCCATTTGTATGACCTAATAGGATTTCTTCCCAGTAGAACGAACCATGAAGAACCATAAAACACAATCTGAGCATAGATTGGTTTTTATCAGTTAATGTGATGGATTTGAGTCTTTGGGTTATTTATTGTTTAGATATTTTATCTTTATTTTAAAACTTTGTAGATTATTTTATGTGTTTATATGGGTATGTTTGTGTGACTGTATACCACATGTGTGTGGGTACCACTAGAGGCAGAAAGGGGGTGTCTGATCCCCTGAAACTGGAGTTATAGGCAATTGTAAGCTGTCAAATATGACTGCTGGGAACTGAACTCCAGTCAGTTGGCTCTTAGCTTACTAAGAATTGTCTCCTTAGTCTCAGACTTTTTTTTTTTCTTCTTTTTTTTAGTACTCAAAAAACTTATGTGGAATTTCCCCTCACTCCTTGTACTGAGGAATGAGCCCAGGGTCTGGCTGGCATATGCTAAGCAAGGGCTGTATAGCCACTGAACTATCTTCCAGCCATAAATGGGTGGTTCCTAAATTTTAGATGGGTTTGGATGCCATTCTCCATCTTAGTAGATTTGCCCACTAGTTGCTCATTCCATAGTAATTAGTGCATCTGTAGAACTTTGAAGTGTTGGTAGCCTGGGTTTTTCTATCCAATGGGTCTCATGGAAGGCAAGTTGAGTATACTGATCAAATAAGAATTCTTACATTTGATAAATATTAGTCATGAAAACAATGTGCATCCCTTGACTAGTAGAGATGTGTTCTACTCTAGTAATTCTGACACTGCTCACCCTTCCCTTCGCTCCATCTGTTGGGGGATGTTGCCCTAAGTTGTCCCCAGGCTTGACTGCCAAGAAGGAAATTCATACCCACTTAAACAAGGTGTGAAGCTTATCTTAGAGTTGCTAATGCCTCACTGACCTTTTGAAAAGGTCTCTGGTCACTTGTGAAGTTGAGCAATTTTTCTTCTTTAAGAGCTAATTAAATTTCTTTCTTCTGATATGTTCTCCTTGGTAAATGTTTGGAAGGCTGTATCAGCAGCTGCGATCCTGCATCTATCAAAATTTAACTTCGTAGAGAAGTTTTTTCATTCTGGCTGAGATCCTGGCCTTAGTACTAGGAATGCCCTGTGGAAAGCTTGCTGTTGTATTTATCACATTTATTCTGGTTTTCTCCTGCTCTGCTTGTCAGTGTTAATTGGCATGCTTCAGAGCCTGGGCACTTTCTGTTTGGTTTTCTTTTTTTTTTGTTTGGTTTTTCGAGACAGGGTTTCTCTGTGGCTTTGGAGCCTGTCCTGGAACTCGCTCTTGTAGACCAGGCTGGCCTCGAACTCACAAAGATCCGCCTGCCTCTGCCTCTGCCTCCCAAGTGCTGGGAATAAAGGCGTGCACCACCACCGCCCGGCTTTGTTTGGTTTTCTTTGATCTGATTCTTTGCTAATTCAGTGTTAATCTTCTTTTAGAGTTTCATGGTGCCTAATTACTTCTGTTCATTGACTGTGTTTAAAAAGCAAAAAACCAAAAAGAATCTCATGTGGGTTCATTATTTTTAACTATATTAATTTTACTTAAAAATTTTTTGTGTATGTGTGTACACGCATGTATTTATGTTTGTTTTGAAACAGGGTCTCTATTATGTAGCTCTAGCTGTTGTGAAACTCATGTAGACCAGGCTAACTCAGAGAGATCTATCTGCCTCTGCTTGGCGCTCCCTCCCCCCCCCAGACAGAGAGAGAGAGAGAGAGAGAGAGAGAGAGAGAGAGAGAGAGAGAGATCGATCAGATAACAACTCTTTGGGTTGGTTCTCTTCTCCAGCTTTTATATGGATTCCAGGGATTGAATTCAGGTTGTCAGGTTTGTAGAGTATTTACGTGATAAGCCATCTTGCTAACTCCTAGATAATCTTTTAAAGTCTTCGTTGTCAAATGTGTTCATTTTAAGCAACATCGCAAAACACCCACACACAAAGCAAAGCCCACCTCCCAGATCCAATCATTCAGGTTGGCAGGTTTCTGGTAAAATTGCCACTGACATTTGTCAGGACCTGGCCCTGGATAGTGGGAGGGAGCTTGTGTGCATATTTGACTTGGACCTTGCATGGAGGTCAGAGGACAACTTTCAGGAGTCAGGTCCTTCCACTATGAGTTCCAGAATTGTACTCAGATCAGCAGGCTTGCACAGTAAGAGCTTTTACCCACTCGCCCATCTCACTTGTCCTCCTGGTTAACTTCTAACTACTTAGATCATCAGTTCTCAACCTGTGGGTCGCAACCCCTTTCGGAGTGAATGGCCCTTTCACAGGGGTTGCCTAGAACCATCAAAAAAAACAGATATTTACATTACAACTCATAACAGTAGCAAAATTACAGTTATGAAGTAGAAACAAATAATTTTATGGTTGGGGGTCACCACAACATGAGAACTGTATTAGGGTCACAGCATTTGGAAGATGAAAACCACTGTTATCACCTTCATAGTATTAACTATTAACTTGTTGATTGAAGTCTGGGCCATGTTGTCTCAAACTGGCAATCATCCTGCCTTACCCTCCTAGCATAGATTAGGTCAGGTTTTTGGTTTGTTTTTGTGATTACATTTTGATGTAACGTGTGTGTGTGTCCCCATGTGTGAGCCTTTTGAGTATAGTTTCTTTCCTTAGACTGTGATTGAATTTAGATTATCAGGCTTGGCAGCAGGCACTTTTACTGTATATGCCATCTCCCTGGCCCACTTTATTTCGTTTATCTGGAGGGGGAATTTTGTGATTTTTTTTTTTTTGAGGTGCTATATTGCAATACTAAGTGCTGTGTGGTGGAATTTTGAGGTGACTGTACTATCTCTGAGAAGTCAGGGAAATTACCTTGGTTTGTCTTGAATTTGAGTGAATGGTCAATTCTTTTACCTCCAAATATTTTTTTGTTTGTTGTTTCTTGGTGTTTTGTTTTAGTTATTTTTTGGTTTTTTTGTGTCTTGTTTTCAGTTTTGTAAGCTGTAAATTCAGGCCTTATATGTCTATGACGTGATGTAAATTTTTAAGAAATTATTTGGTGTGTATGGGTGGTCTGCCTGCATGTGTACCTGGATATCACATGTGTTTAGGGCCCTGGATGCTGGAAAAAAGGGCATCAATCCCAACTGCTACTGGAGTTAGAGATGATTAAAAGCTAATGTGTGGGTGCTGGATGGAACCTGGTCCTCTGGACTACCAACCAGTGTCTTAAACCAGTGTCATCTCTCCAGGCCTGATGCGAACAATCAATGTGACTATTCATGTTTATCTTTACTGTAATAAAATCAGGAATTTTACTTTTTTTTAATTATTTGAGATATATACATATGAATTGAATGAGATTACTTTTTTTCTGTCCCCAAAAACAAACAAAACAAAACCCCACTTTATTTGTGCTCTGGGGTGGCATTAAAAATAAAGTAGTTTAGCTGGGTGGTGGTGACTGGCACACGCCTTTAATCCCAGCACTCAGATTTCTGAGTTTGAGGCCAGCCTGGTATACAAAGTGGTGACTTTCAAGACAGCCAGAGCTGTTACACAGAGAAACCCTGTCTCGAAAAACCTGAAAGAAGGAAAAGAAAAGAAAGAACAGGACATAAGACAGTTGTTTTTATAACTACATTTTGTCTGTTTCTCTAGATGTGAGAAAAGGTTCCTGTAATGTGAGCCCCTTTTGTTATGAAATTTAGGTAAGTTTAAAAGTACATTAGGAAGTCTAACATGTGCCGTTTTTCTTTTAGGTTTTGGCATGGTTTGAAGAAGGTGAAGAAACGATTACAGCCTTTGTAGAACCTTTTGTAATTCTGCTTATATTAGTAGCCAATGCAATTGTGGGTGTATGGCAGGTAAGCAGAAAAATTCCTGCAGCAGTTAACATTTTAGTAGTTTATGTGATTTTAAACAGTAGTCTGTTGGTTTTTTTTGGTGTTTTTTATAAAAAGACAGGGTCTCCTTACATAGCCTTGACTGAAACTGAAGTTTTAATTTCTAGTCTAGAAATATTTAAGGAGGCAGGCAGGGTGGTTTATGATGCTTGGTTTTCCTTCATACAGGAAAGGAATGCTGAAAATGCAATAGAAGCCCTTAAGGAGTATGAGCCTGAAATGGGAAAAGTGTACCGACAGGACAGAAAGAGTGTGCAGCGAATTAAAGCTAAAGACATCGTTCCCGGGGATATTGTGGAAATTGCTGGTGAGTTGAGATTTTTGTTTTCCTAGATTTTATTTCTAAGGGAGGTCCTTTTCTCTAGGTTCAGAATTATATTTAGCTTTTTATGTTTAAAGTTTTTTGTTTGCTTTTTAAAATTTTATGCATGTGGGTGATTTGCCTATACATGTTCATGGACTTGCACGTATGCCTGGTGCCTACAGAGTCCAAGAGGGAATAGGATTTCTTGGAACTAGAGTAAGCCTATATGTGAGTGCTGGGAATTGAACCCAGATCCTCCTGAAGATCAGCTAGTGAGTGCTCTTAACCATTAACCACTGAGCCATCTCTCCCGCCGTAATATTTTTCTCATAATTATAACTAATTATTTATCAGAATTGCAGTTGTCATGTTGTCAGTAAGGTATATTTTGAGGTTTGTTTTTTGATGGAGTTTCACTATGTTGCTGAATCTGGGCTCAAATTACCAGATTGAAGTGATCTTCCTGCCTCAGCCTCCTAAAAGGATTTTGTGTTTTGGCCAAGGTGTTTGAGGTATTGTAGTTCTCAACTGTAAAACAAACACTACTGCTGTGTGCACTACAGTTAGCTGTAGTGAGTAATTGGTTATAGCTTCTAAGTAGCTGCCTGTTTTTGGTTTGGTTTTTGAAGACTGGGTTTCTCTAATTTTGGAGCCTGTCCTGGAACTTGCTCTGTAGACCAGGCTGGCCTTGAATTCACAGAGATCCTCCTGCCTCTGCCTCCTGAGTGCTGGGATTAAAGGTGTGCTCCACCACTGCCCAGCTAACTGCCTGGTATTTTTAGTGAATTCTTAACTCATGTCTTCATGCCAGTATGGTGCATGCTCCGCTGGCTAACCTATCTCTCCATTTCCCTTTTTCTTTTTCCTGTTTGATTCTGAATTGTTTTGTTTGTTTATTTGCTCTGGATACTTGAGTCTCACTTTGTATCCCTGGCTGGCCTGTAGTGTGCTGTGTTAGACCAGGCTGGTCTCAAACTCGCAGAGATTCTCTTGCCTCTGCCTTTTTGGGTGCTGGGGTAAAGGCATGTAATACCACCACCTAGCTTAAATAATTTATTTTTATTTGCATTGGTGTTTTGCCCGCATGTATATCTATGTGAGGTTGTAAGATCTTGGAGTTACAGATAGTTGTTAGCTGTATATGTATGTTAGCTGTTATATGTATGTGCTGGAAATTAACATGGGTCCTCTGAAAAGAGCAGTCACTGTACTCTTGACCTCTGAGCCATCTCTCCAGCTCCTTAAACAAGGTTTTATGTAACCTGGTTGGCGTATAACTCACTACGTAGTCTAGACTCTCCTCAATTCCTGACTCTCCTCCTTCACCTCTTAGGTCCTAGGTGTCACTATCCTGGTTTTGGCATAAATGTGAAATCATACTGTAACTGTCACCCTGAGTTGTTTCATTTTGGTTGTTTCATTGGTAGAGTAGATGGGGAAGAATTACTGCAGAGGATTATCAGATTGTGGCTTATTACACTGTTTTGAGTCTAGATTAGATTTGTTTGCTTTCATATAGTGACTCATAATTAATCCTACTGGACTTTATCATTGCCTTATTCATTAAAATAATCTTTTTGTTTGTTTGTTTCTGAGATAGTTTTTCTGTAACAACGCTGGTTGTCCTTGAACTGATTTTGTAGACCAGGCTAGCTTCAAACTCAGATCCACCTACCTGCCTCTGCCTCCAGAGAGCTGGGATTAAAGGTGTGCACCACCACACCTAGCTTAATTAAAACAATTTTTAAAATTTCATCTTGCTATTTAAAAAATAGCAAGTTGAGTGCTCAAAACTTGGGTTGAATATTCAATAAAAGAAAAAAGATAGTTAAATTTATTCAATTTTAATTGAATAACTTGTCAGTAGGCAGTATATACATTTAAGTATGTCTGTTTGACCTGTTTCTGAATTCTTCATGGACACTGCTGACACCCTCCTAGTTGGTCATATCTGCATATTCATTATGGAAAGCTTAGGCAGTACTCTGATTTGTGCTAATTCTTTCTTCCTGGTGTTTGATCATTCTGAGAGGTACAGAACGTAGGTAATGACTAGGTCTTACATAGATACTTTGTTAAAGGCTCTTCTCTACTCCTTTCTAAGCATATCCTGAGTACTCTAATGCTGATCAAACATGAAATCACAAGTATAGGGTAGATGCAGTTAATAAATACCCTTATCATAAAATTTGCAGAACAGACTGAAAGTGTGAAATGTGTTCAGGAATAGGTACTTAGAATGAGTGGATATTTTGACAACTTTACAAATACTTGGTTAATTGCCACCAGCCACTCTAAATATGTGGTTACTTTCACTAGTTGAGGAAAATGTATCACTGTCTTTTCTAGACATATGTACATGATAAACATACATGATATGTATAGAAGTCATTTCAATTTGTTGATGGCTCAAATCACCACTTTTTAGCATCTTACTGATACATAGTTCACATGCCATATAACCTCTTCCAAATTATAGTTTTAGCCTGTTCATAGACTTGAGTGACCATTATTAAATTCCAGGTTCAGAGAAACCCATCTCCATTAGCAAGTACTTGTTCCTTGTCTTGTCACTATTCTCTAACAGCAACTTACTTATATTTTTATGGATTTATTTTAGACATTGTGCACCATATGTGATGCTTTGATATCAAGACACATACACACACAAAGTAAAAAATAAATCTTTTTTAAAAAGAAAATTTTAGGAGAGTATGGGAACATTACAGATGCTTACGTGAACCTTTGAACCGTCTATAACTAGAGTCACATAAAGTTGCTTGGCAGAAAGAAAGATCTAATAACTCATATTCATCTTCTAAATCCAGAGCAATTTTATGTTTTTTTTTTATGCCAGGAGTATATTTGTGGATGACTGGAAACAAAATGTGCGTTTTTGAATGCGCATTGGTGTTTTGCCTGCATGTCTCTGAGGGTGCCAGATCCCCTGGAGCTGCCATGTGGGTCCTTAGAGTTGAACCTGGGTCCTCTGGAAGAGCAGTAAGTGCTCTTAACTGCTGAGCCATCTCTCTAGCCCCTGATTGTGTATTCTCTTACAGTAAGGGATTATCAGTGGTTTTGACTTTTCTGTGTTATCTGTTAATCTTACAAATGTGAATTAAACTATAATAGGAAAAAGGTTTCTGCTTTTAGAATTTGGCAGTGGATTTGACATATGTCTTGGGGCACTGTTTTCATTACTGCTTTAAATAGATGTTGTATATCTTGGTAACAGGATTGGCACGGGACATAAATATATTCCTATCCTGTAGCATTCTCTAGATTGAGCCCTTATTCTAAGGTTATGCAAGTGACAAAAATGACATGATTCTAACATAAAATTGCTTTATACCTTCTGTAGGAAATAGATTTTATATTTCCTAAAATGAAGACTAACTGTTTAGCAGTAGACAGCATTTTCAAGATTTAGTCAAGGGGCTGGAGAGATGGCTCAGAGGTTGAGAGCACTGACTGCTTTTTCAGAGGTCCTGAGTTCAATTCCCGGCAACCACATGGTGGCTCACAACGATCTGTAATGAGATCTGACGTGCTCTTCTGGTGTGCAGGAAAACATGTTGTATATAACCAATAAATAAATCTTTAAAAAAAAAGATTTAGTCAATAATAAAGTATAATTTTTAAACTTGATGGCTGTTTAAAAGAATTGTTTATAGTAATGAGATTTAGTAATAGGAAGATAACCTGGGGTGAGGTGGCATATAATCCCAGCACTTGGGAGGCAGGAGTTTACGGCAAGCCTGGTCTACATAAGTGAGGTCCATGATAACCAGAACTACATAGTAAGGCCCTGTCCCTACCCCCCACCCCCAGATGCGCGCGCGCGCGCGCGTGTGTGTGTGTGTGTGTGTGTGTGTGTG